AGAGAGAGAGAGAGAGAATTTTTAATATTTATTTTTTAGTTCTCGGCGGACACAACATCTTTGTTGGTATGTGGTGCTGAGGATCAAACCCGGGTCGAACACATGCCAGGCGCTACCGCTTGAGCCACATCCCCAGCCCCACTTTAAGTTTAAATACTTTTGATTTTATTACATAAAATAAACTATTGAATATTTTTGCAGTACTGGGGATTTGAATTCTACATTTTAAACACTATTATTATTTTAACACTCAACCAAGTCTCTTCATATTACCAGTATGTCTCAATAATTCCATCTTGAAAAATATGGAATGCTTCATGAATTTGAAGGTTGTTATAGTTTGGCTATGTGGTATCCACCAAAAACTCATGTATGAGACAATGCAAGAACGTTCAGAGATGAGATGATTAGATTACAAGAGTTGTAATCTAATCAGCAGATTGATGTACTGATATAGATTAATTAGGTGGTATCTATAAGCAGATAGGGTACAGCTGGAGGAAGAAGGTCATTGGGGGCATTTGTCCCTGGTAAGTGAAGTTCTCTCTCTCTCTCTCTCTCTCTCTCTCTCTCTCTCTGCTTGTTGCTACATCCTGAGCTACTTTCCTCTGCAATGCCCATTGGCCATAATGTTCTGCCTCACCTCAGGCCCAGAGTTACGGAGTCAGCTGACCACAGACTGAACTTCTGAAACAGTGAGCCAGAATATACTTTTCCTCCTCTATGTTGTTCTTGCCAGGTCTTTTGGTCATAGCAATGAAAAACCAGACTAAATCACAGGTCATCCTTGTGCAGAGGCCATGTTAATCTTTTCTGTATCATTCCTATTTTAGTATAGGTGCTGCTGAATCAAGCACTACCTCAGAATTCTTAATTATAAGAAACTAAAACCAACTTAAGCCAAAAGGAATTTATTAAAAGGATATTAAATAACTAATTGAATAAAAGGAAAAGCAGAATAAGCATATTCTCAGCCACATAATAAGAAAGAGTCAAAACCAAGTTGCAGAGCTGATCTGGAGATAAGGTCATTACTGCCTGGCTGCTGAGTTCTGGACATGTGGCTTGTGTTGGTGGTACCCATAGCATGGGATATTGAACTAATCACTATCCTATAGCCACTGCTTTTCCAGGAAATGAGCTTCCTGAAACCAACTTTTCCAGGAAGTTTTTTGAGGCAAGTGTGCCTGACAGGCAGAGCCTGTTTGCAATGCTCTAGCTGCAAGAAATGTGAGTTCCTAGTACTTTCAATTTCTGTAGGGGAAAATAGGCCTGTATCTCTGATTCATAACCTGAGTAATTCCCTAAATGCAGGAAAGGGAGTTCCAATGTTGGGGTCCAAAATAAATGTTCAATGTCTACTACACACTTAACCTTCAAGATACTCCTCTTCTTTGCCAGGAATGTCATTTGTTTTGGTGCCAACACACTTCATAGAGTTATCATGCAAAAAGGCTCACAAGTTTTATCAATCTGTACTTAAAGCTAGTTATGAATGAGAGTGGATTTGGGTCAGGCACAAGCTTTTACCAGGAAAACTGTTACCCCTGTCACATCAGAAAACCAGGAAATTAGAAATCCACTGTTCCAACTATGACTCCCGGAATATAAACTACCTCAGCCACATTCTGGAAAACAGGAAGTCATCCTTTAGAGTTTTGGTATATTAAATCCTTAGTAATACCTTATTTTCTCTTTAACTCAGTTCCATATTCAAGTTCCTTAGGTATGTGTCTGATTGGGGAATTTAAAACATCCAGAGACCAATCTGCTTCGAGGAGGTCTAGAAAATAGTTTTAGTTTTTCAGCTTCTGTACCACAGGGAGGCATCATAACAAGGGGTTGGAATAGATGTTGAGCCATATCTACTCTATCTGCCTAACCCATTCTGCCTTTCTTTAATCTCTGAGTGCTACTTTTTTGGGGGAGTGGGGGTTCTTATCGGGGATGGAACCCAGGAGAACTCTACCACTGAGCTGTATCCCCCACACTTTTTATTTTTTACTTAGAATCAGGGTCTCACTAAGTTTCTTAGGGCCTCCCTAAATTGCAGAGGCTGCCTTGAACCTGCAATCCTCCTGCCTCAAACTCCTGAGCTGCTGGGATTATAGGCAACCCACCTGGCTAAAAAAAAATATTTTTAATAGGCTGCTATGGTTTGGATCTTAAATGTCCCCAAAAAGCTCATGTGTTTATGGCTTGGTGCTCCTGGGAGGTGGTAGAAACTAAGAGATGGGGCCTAGTGAGAGGTTTAAGGTCATTGAATACATCCCCTGGAAGAGGCTTGTGAGACTCTGGTGTTTTCCTCTTTCTCTTTTTGATTCCCAGCCATGAGATGGGTAGTTTTGCTCCATCACGTGCTCCCACCATGATGTTCCATGGGCTTAAAAGCAATGAGGTCAACAGATTATGGATGGAAACTTCCAAAACTGTGAGCCAGGCTGGGGATGTGGCTCAAGTGGTTAGCATGCTCGCCTGGCACGCATGAGGCACTGAGTTCGATCCTCAGCACCACATAAAAATCAAATAAAGATATTGTGTCCACCTAAAAGAATAAAACAAAATTGTGAGCCAAAATAAGCCTTCATTATATCTCTTTCTCTCTGATGGTGCTTGAAATTGAACCCAGGGCCACATGCTAGGCAAGTGCTTTACCACTGAGCTACTCTCATTAAGTTGACAAAGCTGACCTCAAACTTGATATCCTCTGCCTTAGCCTCTAGAGTCATTGGTATTACAGGTGTGTGTCACCATGCCCAGTTTAAGTCCATTTCTTAAGTAACTAGTTTGTATATCTATCTCTGTGGATATATATGTGTCTGTATAGTTTTTTACAGCTTTGAATTCTTCCTTTTTTTTTTTTAAGAGAGAGTGAGAGAGAGAGGGGGACAGAGAGAGAGAGAGAGAGAGAGAGAGAATTTTAACATTTATTTATTTTTTCTTAGTTCTTGACGGACACAACATCTTCGTTTAGTATGTGGTGCTGAGGATCGAACCCGGGCCGCACCCACACTAGGTGAGCGCGCTACCACTTGAGCCACATCCCCAGCCCTTGAATTCTTTCCTTTGCAATTTTTCTAAGAACTTGGTTGACCAGAGTATTGGCTCTAAACTTGTATCAGCCCTGTATGCTTTAAGACTTAAGGTCACAGCCTTAATTAATTCCTTAAATCTTGTTTTTTTGATTCCTCAAAGTAACCAAACATGCATGATCAACTGTGCTATATGTAGCAAAATGAAATTAAATCCCTATCTCTCCCTATCTTGCTCAAAACTCAACTAAAAATGGATCAAGAACTTAGGCATTAGACTAGAGATGCTGTGCCTAATAAAATAAAAAGTAGGCCCAAATTTACATCATGTTGGCTTAGGAACTGACTTCTTTAACAAGACTCCTAAAGTGCAGGAAGTAAAATCAAGAATCAATAAATGGGATAGAATCAAATTAAAGAGCATCTTCTCAGCAAACAATCAAGAACATGAAGAGGGAGCTGACAACATGGGAGAAAAATCTTTGCCACCTGAACCTCAGATAGAGCATCAAGTTCCAGGCTATATTAAGAATTCAAAAAACTTAACACAGGGAAAACAAATAACCCAATTAATATATGGGCAAAGGAAATGAACAGGCACTTTACAGAAGAAGAAATATGATAAATTGGTCAACCAATATATGAAAAAATGTTCAATATCTCCAGAAGTTAGAGAAATGCATATTAAAACTACACTGAGATTTCATCTCATTCCAGTTAGAATGGCAATAATCAAGAATATAACTAACAGGCTGGGATTGAAGTTCAGTGGTAGAGCACTTGCCTAGCACATGTGAGGCACTGAGTTTGATTCCTCAGAACCACATAAAGGTAAAGTATCATCTACAACTGAATTTTTTAAAAAAAGAATACAAGTAACATTACATCTTGGCGAAAATGCGAGGTGAAAGGTATACTCATACACTACTGGTGGACTGCAAATTGGTGCAACCACTCTGGAAAGCGGTATGGAGATTTCTAAGAAAACTTGGAATGGAACCACCATTTGACCCAGTTATCTCACTCCCTGGTTTATACTCAAAGGACTTAAAATCTGCATACTACAATGATGCAGCCACATCAATGTTTATAATAGCTCAATTAACAATAGTTAAACTATGGAACCAACCTAGGTACCTTCAACAGATGAATGACTAAAGAAAATGTGGTATATGCACATAATGAATATTATTCAGCCATAGAGAAGATTGAAATTATGGTATTTGCCAGAAAATGGATGGAACTGGAGAGTATCATGCTAAATGAAATAAGCCAATCCCAAAAACCCAAAAGCCAAATGTTTTCTCTGATATGTGGGTGCTAACTCACAATAAGGGGGTGGGTAGGAAAGAATACAAGTACTTTGGATTATACAAAGGGGCATGAAGGGAAGTGGGGGGAATGGGAATAGGAAAGTTAGTAGAATGGATCAGACATTACTATCCTATGTGCATTTATGATTACATGACCAATGTAATTCTACATAATGTACAACCAAAAGAATGAGAAGTTATACTCCATATGAGTTTAATATGTTAAAATACATTCTACTGTCATGTATAACTAATAAGAAAAAATTTTAAAAAGATTATTAGGGTGTAAAATAGTGTCAGCTAAAGTGTCCAATGGTAGTGTTGTGATCATACTTTTGGGGGGTGAAGTTTAACCAAGGCTGTCTAGCTTCTTTTGGCCAGCAAATGAATTTCTATTTATTTTCTAATTCTGCTTGTCCTGTTTGTCATGTCTTTCTATGAGCTACTTAACCTCCTGATAATTCTTTTTTAAATTTAGTTATCCACTTTTTGCCTCTGTTGTTGCAACCAGCAACCCTGGTTGGCATTCTGTTGTAATTCTAGTGGTCTGCTGTATGTGGTAGTTAATTAGCCATGATTGACTTCTGGATGATGTACCCCCAAAGGAGAGATGTTGAAGATTTGATTAGAATAATTTCATGGCTGAAAAATGTAAGGAAGTTAGAGTTCATTAATTATGCCACCAACAGCAAGAAAGGAAAAACTCTGGTTTAGACTTCCCAATTCAAAGCAAATTTTAAAATTCAATACTATTGTAAAAATACAGCAGGAAGTCCTTTTGCCTGTATCCAGGACTATTGAACTCTTGGTTCAAAAATGTACTGATTTTCATCAAATGCTGCAGGGACAAGTGGATATCCACTTGCAGAACAGTGAAGTTGGACCCCCCTACCTCATTCATACACAAAAATTTAGTAAAAATGGATCACAGACTTAAATGTAAGAATTTAAATTATAAAACTCCTAGATAGAAATAGCAGGTGACTTCATAAGTTGGGCACAGGACATGTGTCTATAATCACAGCTAGTTGGGAGCCTGAGGCAGGAGAATCACTGAGCCAGGAATTGGGGATCAGCCTAGACCTCACCTCAGGAAAAATAAAAAGGATATCTTCATGACCTTGGGTTTAAAATGGTTTCATAGATTCATTAAACATATAAGTGAGGGCTAGGATGTAGCTCAGTAGTAAAGCACTTGTCTAGAATGTTCAAGGTCCTGGGTTCAATCCCTAATACTGCCAAAAAAATGTATGTGTGTGACAGAAAGAAAACAGATAAATTGGCCTACCTCAAAAGTAAAACATTTGTGTATAAACTATACATTAAGAAAGCAAAAAGACAACCCACTATATGGTATAAAATATTTGAAAAAATTAAGTTTATATATTTGGACAAAGAGATTTGTCCAAATATATAAACTTAATTTTAATTATATATATATCTCCTGATTAAAAACTGAGCAAAGGACTGGGGTTATGGCTCAGTGGTAGAGCGCTTGCCTCGCATGTGCAAGGTCCTGGGTTTGATTCTCAGCACCACATAAAATTAAATAAATAAACAAATAAAGTTGTTGGGTACAACTACAAAAAATAAATATTAAAAAAAATTGAGCAAAGGTCTTAAATAGGCATATATCCAAAGAAGATCTATTAATGGATGATAATTGTATTTAAAAATGCTCAATGTTATTTGGCATTGGTTATTATAGAAATGCAAATCAAAATCACAATGAGATCTATCTACCACTTTATATCCATGTGATATGGCTTTTATTGTTGCCTCCAGCAACCCTGATTGGCATTCTGTTGCAATTTTAGGGGTTTGCTGTTGAAGTTAAATAACTATGATTGTCTAGAATTAACTATGATTTAGAAGTCAAACAATCATAAATAAAGCTTAGTGAAAAGCACTGACTGGTGAATACATTGATGTGTCAGGAAGTGGATATGTCCTGATTCCAAAGAGAGAGCACTTTTAGAAACTCTGCATTTGGAACCCTGTGAGACCTCATTCTATGTGTTTCTTCATTTGACTGGTTCTGTCTTGCATCCCTTCTAATAAAACTATAATGGTAGTTGTTGGGAAAGCATATAACGGCAGCAGCACCCCAGAGAAAAGCCCTAACGACCCTCTTTCTCCTCTTTTTTTCTTTCACTGGCACGAAACGGTTCCCGCCAGCGCCAATTCAAATCCTGCTGGTGGGAAACCTTAGCCCCAATAAGAATTAACTTCTTGGGCTCCGGAACTGACATTTGGAAGAGCTTGCCAATAAACGGGCGACCTGTTATCTACCTCAGCCCTGCTACCTCTCCTTAGACCTATATAAACACACAGCCTTTGGTAATAAAGTGGAACCTCTTTGGTGATCTGTGTCGTGTGGTGTGGCATCTTCCAGTCTTACAGTAGTACATCACTTTCCTACATTCTGTGAATCATTTAAGCAAATCCTCAAATCTTGAGGGAATTGAGGGAACCCCCAAATTGGTAACCAGTTGGCCAGAAGTGTAGGTAGCCTATGGATACTTGAGTGTGACTGGCATCTGAAGTGAGAGCAGTCTTGTTAGGGATCATGACTGATAATCTGTGGGTTCTGTAATAACTTCAGGTAGTTAGTGCCAGAATTTTATTACTGGTTGGTGTTAAAATATTACCCTATGTCTATATTAGTCAGTTTTTTTTTTTTTTTTTTTTTTTTTTTTTTGTCACTGTGTCCAAAATACCTGACAATAACAACTTAAAGGAGAAAAAGTTTATTTGGGATTATGGTTTCAGAGATTTCTGTCCATAGTCAGCTGGCTTCATTACTCTGGGCCTGAGCTGAGGCAGAACATCATGGTGGAATGGTGTGGCAGAAGAAAGCTGCTCAGTTCATGATAGATGGGAAGGAGAGTAGAGGACCAGGAGCCAGGGAAAATATATTTAACCCCCAAGGCATGTCCCCAGGTAGGTAACCCACTTCCTCCAGTCATACCCCACCTGTCTATAGTTACTACCTAGTAATGTACTCAAATTATTAATCTATCACACAGATTAATCTACAGACTAGATTAGTTTTCATAGTCTGATCATGTCACCTCCTGCATTGACACATGAGCTTTTGGGGAGAGGGGAATACCTCATATCCAAACCACAACAATGGCAAAAGGTGCAGTTAAGGATCAAGAGCTAGAGGCAGAGGGAAGTTTGACATAGAAGAGGACAAATCAGTGTGACCAGAAAAATAGACTGGAGTGATATAGCCACAAGCTAACAAATGCTGCCAGGCACCAAAAGTTAGAGGAGGCAAGGAACAGATTTTGACCTTGAGTTTTCAGATGGTTCATGACCCTGCTAACATTGATTTTGACCCAGTGAGTCTGATTTCAGATATCTGGGCTCCAGAACTATGAAAGAGCACATTTCTATCATTTTAAAGCATCAAGTTGTGATAGGCTGGGAGCCGTGGCACATGCCTGTAATCTCAGCAATTTAGAAGGCTGAAGCAGGAGAATGGAAAGTTTGCAGCAAGCCTAGGCAACTTGCTGAGATACTGTTTTGAAATATAAATAGGACTGGGGATGTAATTCAGTGTTAAAGCTCCTCTAGGTTCAATCACCAGTATTAAAAAAAAAAAAAAAACCCACAGTGTAATGTTATTCCCATGAAGTATGGTAAAAGTGAAGTACAAATGTGCTTAGAGTGCTTACTTCAGCAGCACATATACTAAAATTGGAATGATACAGAGAATATTAGCATGGCCCCATGCAAGGATGACACATAAATTCATGAAATGTTCCAGATTTAAAGAAAAAAAAAATGTGTCTAGAGAGGTGAAAAAATTTTCCCAAAATTCTGCAACAAAAGAGGAAGGCACACAGCTAGTCCATCTGGCTCCAGATCCTGCACTCCTAAGGGCTATGCTACCCTGTAACAAATGAACTAAAGATTCTCACTGCTCACTATCTTTCTGTTAATGCCGCATTTACTTCCTCACAACCTCCAAACTTCTGCTCCTTGCAACCCCACTCCTAGCTCTTTCAGACAAAAGGAAGAAAATGTATCCCCAGTTTCCCTCAGGAAAAGGGGTCTTCTTGACACAAAGATTCATAAAGTGGGGGCCACAAAAACATCTCTGGTTGAATGATCAAACTTTGTGGAAATAAACTTGTTTTTTACCACTCAGGATCATCAGTAACAGCTTTAGTGTCTGAATAGAAACTGAAAACTTTATTCCCCACCACCCACTCCAAGTTGTCATCCATTGCTTCCAGCCCAATTAATTCTTCCTCTTATGGTATATAGATTCCACTCAATAAATTCAAAAGAGTTACGTGATAGTTTTTTATTTTTCAATTTTTTTTTAGAAAGTATTTTAATATTTATTTTTTGGTTATAGGCGGACACAACATCTTTGTATGTGGTGCTGAGGATCGAACCTGGGCCGCACGCATGCCAGGCAAGCACGCTACCGCTTGAGCCACATTCCAGCCCTTATTTTTCAATGTTGATTCTTGCAATGTGTTGGAAATCTTATTCTTTGCAATATTTAATCTTAGGATGAAAAAATTTAAATGTCAACTTAAAAATATGCAATGGGGTACACAATTTTTCAAAATTGTTTTAGAGGATGTGCAAGCAAAATAGTTGGCCCTTTGCCCAACTTCTTCTTTGGTAGGAATCCCATAACAACAAGAAAAAAGTCTGTGAGCTGAAAAGTAAAGGAAAACTAACTGAAAACAATTTCTACCAATTGGGGAAACATTCAGACTTAATTAATAATACAAGCTGTGCTAAGCACTGGATCTCCATTATCTCAGTTATTCTAACTAATAACCAGTGATGAAGGTTAATTTTATTGGTGAGGAAACTGAGGCTCAGAAAAGTTGTGATATACCTACCAATTAGTCCATAATAGAGCTTGAATTTGAACCCACACCTGCCTGATCCCCACATCTGAGTTTTAGCCTCTTCACTCTGCTCTCTGGCAGACTGCTGGGCCTTCCCTAGCTCCTGTCCCTGAGAATGACAGTGACTGTCCCAGCAAGAGCTGGCAGCAGTGACATCAAGAGCCATGCCAGAAGAGAGGAGGCAAAGGAACAACTTAGGGAGAAATGGCAAGAAGACCCAAGGCACTGTGGTACCTGTTCCAATACTGGACAGCTTCTGACACGTGTAACAAAGGAAGACAGAGTGACCTCTGGTGGCCCAAGAGCCACCCCTCCCATACCATGTTGAGAGATAGGAAGGGTGGACTCTGCTGTCCTACCCTACCTTATTGGTTACAACTGTGGGTGATAAGGAAGGGGCAGCAAGGGGACACCTCAAACACTTGCTATCAGATCATTGTTATGCCTTCACTCCATGTTTCTTGAACATTCTTGGCATTTACCTATACCTCTTTTTTCCCTCTTTTTTTATCTGTGATACTCTACCAATTTTTTATTTATTTCTCCCAAAAGTAACATAATGCCTGTAAATTATTTCTATCAATTTATCTTACAGTTTTTGTCTTATTTATTTAGCTGCCATGCTGTCTAGCTTGTGACTATTAAAACTTTTTAAATTATGCCTTTTATTATTATATCATACTATCCCATTTATTCTTTTTATTTTAGATTCCTCCTGATATTAACATTTCCTCTCCTGTCTTCCCTTTATTTGCATTTACCAGATATGTCTTGCCCACATCTTTGTTTTGAACTCTATCATTTTTTTAATATATATTTTATATGATACTGAGGATTGAACCCAGGACCACTCTACCACTGAGGCCCAACCCCCAGGGCCCACCCCTGGCTTCTGTTTTTGTTTTTTGTTTTTGAGACAGAGTCTAAGTTGCCCAGGCTGGCTGTGAACATTCCATCCTCCTGCCTCAGCCTCTGATTACAGATGTGATTACAGGTATGATTACAGGTGTATGCCAGCTCTATCACTGTTTAAAATTTGTTTCTTATACACAACACATAGTTTGTTTTTAACTCAATCTGACAGTTTCTTTCAATGGGTAATTCTGTTTAGTTACATTTAGTTGCAATTGGTAACATTAAATTCTAATAATTTATGATTACTATTTATTTTAGTTTGCTGATATCTCATCCTTTTCATCATTTTTGTCAATCTGATCAAATTTCCATCTGCTCCCCTTTTTACTTTACTTTTAATTTTTTAGTTCTGCTATACTTTTCCATTTTATGATTTCTTTTCTTTTTCCTATGCTTATTATAGATTATTTTTTCTGTAACATATATTTAAAATCTACTATTTGCCCCATAGAGATGCTTTGTCTCCTCACTTCCTCCTTCCCTTTCCCCAGTAAGATCTTTCAGAATAATCTCATTTCCCCATTCTCCTTCAATCTGTTCACGTCCTATATTCACATGAAATCTTTGGATGAGTTTTACCACTCCCACAGGTTTATTTCCAGTCTTCAGGTTTTGCATAGATAATCTGGTACTCTTTCTTTCAGGCTACTACTGGAGTTTCTTTTGAAGTTGAAGTATGTCTCTTCCATTTCAGTAATAATTTTAGCCTTCATAATATATATTTCCGGAGAGTCAGTCAACATCCAATGGATATATATTATATACTTCCATAATCTATCAGTATCCAATGGATATCCAATGGATATTGACATACTATCTAGACTATCATACAAAATACATATTATATTATATAATATATATAAGCCATCAAAACACAAATATATAAAAGTTATATAGTTACATTAACATAACGTGTAAATATATCAGCTTATATTTTAATATAACTGATTTCCTTTGTAATCATATGTATTTTATTTTACATGTTTAAAAACATACAGAGAAGAGGGACTGGGGTTGTGGCTCAGTGCAGAGCACTTGCCTAGAATGTGTGAGGCCCTGGGTTTGATCCTCAGCACCACATATGAATAAACAAAAATAAAGTTAAAAATCTATTGGCAATTAAAAAATATTAAAAAGAAAAAACATTCAGAGAAGAGGTTTACCACATGTTAAGAAAAGGCTAATTTGTGGCTGGGGGTATAGCTCAGTGGTAAAGCACTGGTCCAGCTTTACATGAAGACCTAGGTTCCATACCAACATTACCAAAAAAAAAAATCACAAACAAAACTTAAAAACAAAAACAAAAACAGGGATAGAAAAGGCTAATTCAAGGCTAGGGATGTCACACAGTGGTAGGATGCTTGTCTAGCATGTTCAAGGCCATGAATTTGATCCTAGCACATGGACGAAAGGAAGGAAAGAAGGGGAAGGGAAGGGAAAGGAGGAAGGGAGGAAAGGAGGGATTGCTTGATTCAGCTACCCCTCCAACTTCAATTACCATTTCTTTCTTTCTTTCTTTTTCTTTTTTTTTTTTTAGAGAGAGAGAGAGAGAGAAAGAGAGAGAGAATTTTTTAATATTTATTTTTTAGTTATTGGTGGACACAACATCCTTGTTTTGTTTGTGGTGCTGAGGATTAAACCTGGGCCGCACGCATGCCAGGCGAGCGCGCTACCGCTTGAGCCACATCCCCAGCCCATAAGTGATGCTTTAAAGCAATTTCTAACTCAGTATGTCCAAAATCCAACTCATCTTCCTTCCCTGCCTGGTCCTTTTCCAGTGAAAACTTTCTCAGAAATAGCTCTGATAAGGCCAGAAGCCTAGGAATTATACTTGCATTCTTCATCTCCCTCACCTCCATATTGAGTTTTTTCCCAAGATCTTGTTGACTTCATCTCCTAAAATTTGTATATCAGTCTATTTTTATCAATAGTTTGAAACCTTACCTGTTTGACTGGAATGGGATGGGAGCATAGGTCAGATAGGTATGGATTGATAGGTAGTGAACGAGAGGTACATAAAAGAAAACTGTAAACATAGATGGTTTCTTTGGAACCTCTGGGGAAAGAATACTGGCAGATTTTGGAAGATGGTATCCTTTTCCCTTCATTCCTATCTCCATCTTTTTAGTCTAACCACACCCCTAGGTTGTACAACAGTGAAAAGGTAGAGCCTCAGACCTTTTACTGAGCTTTCACAAGGTGAACCCCCAAGTGGAGACATTAAAGAACACATGTGTGTGCTGGCAGGTAAGAGATTCCTCATAATATTGTAAAACTAATAATATAAAGCATAATCTAAATGGATACATAATCTCTTTCCTGATCACCTTCATCCATCCCTGAGCTCCTGGACCCATTCTTCATATTGCAGCCAGGAACCCTTTTAAATGTAAATGTGTTCATCAACTGGCAGTCTTTCTTGACTTCATTCATGTTTTGTACCACAGCCACTTGAGACTTTTTTCAGTTCCTCAAACACTCTGTGATCTCTTCTATCACAGGCCTTTCTATATGCTATCCCCTCTGCCTGGAATGTCTCTACACTCTCTTGGCTATGTTAACACCTACTGATTCCTTAGCTATTAGTTCAAATGCCACTTCTTCAGAAAATCCTTACTGCAATCCAAAACAGGTTCAGACTCCCAGTTGTATGCTCTCATGTCATCCTGTCCTTTTCCTTCCTAGTACTTGTCACAGACTGTAATTATATATTTGCTGATGTGATTATTTGATTAATATGTCATCTCTAATAGACTAGAAGTCCTAGGAGGGTAGGAAGCAAACCTCTTTTCAAACCAGTGTATCCTCAATCATAATACATAATGATGGTATAATGCCTATCACATAGACATACTCAATTACGTGTGTGTGCTGGGGCGGGATGCATGTATATGACTGATCAAGTGTCTGTATATGTAAAGCAAAGCAAACCTGGACTGCAGTGACCTCATAAAGAGACATCACACTGAGTAGCCCTCTCAGA